ATCATTTTTTATTTATTTAATTTTTGTATCACATTTCTATGAATCGCTACTACTATTAAAAATTTTTTCAATAGTCAATTTTCTCGCCGTTATGTTCAATCACCTTCGAAACACGATTTTTCATGCTGTTCACTAACATAAGGAAGAGATCTTTGCTTATACCCTCCCACTTCTAATGAATTATGTTTTGAAAATCATTATTTGACAATTTTTTTTTTTTGCTAACCATAAGTTCGACTCTTTTTCTACTCTCCCCTTTAAAATCGCCTACAAATTTTCGATAGGATTTATATCAGGCAAGTAAATGGGCCAGTCAAGAATCTGAACGTCATGGCTTTCAAAAAGATTGATTATTTTGTTCGCCTTGTGGACTGAAGAGTTGTCTTGCTGGAAATGGAACTTGTGATTGGCTCTAAGAATGTAAGGGAACAAATGGGCTTCAAGAATTTCATGATATTTGTCAGAATTAAAGTTTTCAGTGAATAAAATTAATGCAATCAGTTAAAGATGGGTTCCTAAAGTATTTAGCATATAAAATTTATGTCTCTTTATGTCCACATCCCCTAGAGGACATAATTCCTAGCTCTTTATTTCAATAGGGACATAATTCCAGAAATGATTTGTATAGATGCTTAAAACTATAAAGAACCTTTATAGGTAGTTTTTTTTTATTCCTTAATATAGAAATAAAAATTTTTAATAATAAGGGATATTTGAATTATGTCCTCGCAAATAATTTAGGGACCCATCTTTACAATCAGTCCCCTTGCAGTGAAAGCTTTCCACGTATGAACTTTATAAGGGTGCTTTACTATACTTTGGTGTGGTCTTTCTTTTCCATGGTGGTACCTTACTAACTGAGTGTTTCTAAACATTTGGAAGGTCATTTCGTCGGAGAAAATGATATTAGACCAGTTGCAACGGTGGTGTTTTTCTGCCCATTTCAAATGGGCTTCGATATGATAAGGCTGGAGAAGGGGAGCCAAAAGTGGGTGACAGACTTTTAACTGAAGGTTTTTTTTTAACGTACGTTGAATAGTACAAATGAAGACTTTCAGATTAGGGTTTTTTTGAATAAGTTTTTCAACCATTTTGGTTGCAGTAATCATTTTATTGTTCTATACCATCAGGTCAAGATGACATCGATTTTTGGGTGTGAGAATGGGGTTCTTTCAGGTTTGTAAAGTGGAGTAATGTCGGATCTTTTTTTGAGTTGACGAACTAAATCATATACTGTGGACTTCGGGTAGCCCGTTAAACATATGATTTCAGCAGGCCTCTGGACATTTTGGGTCCAAAGTTGTCTTATGACTGTTTTTTGAGTTTCGTGCTTTAAAGTAGGTGTCATCTTCACTGGTTTTTTTATTAAGGGAATGCGAAAACAATCTCAAAGAAGTTAGAGTTGACGTGTTTGATTATGAGATACAAGGTGGTAACACCATTTTTATCTAGATCCAAAATTGGCAACGTTATACAACTTTTTGTAACCTGGATCAAGATTCCAGAAACATGTGACGGCATCTGTAAAATCTTTTAATCAAAAATCAAACAAGTTTGAAAGTTTCATTTGTTTTTTAATTGTATAAAAAAACCTTATAACAATTTTTCTTATAATTTTGTTTTTATATACTTTATATTATTTTTTAAAGTAAAAAGTATTATTTATTGATTTATTTATTTTCAAATAAAAGGTACTTAATATATTATATTTTTTTATTAAGTTATTTATATTCATTTATAAGTATCTAAGATCCATTTAAATTAATATACTATATATCTTTACCTATAAATTTATTTATTATATTAATTGTTACCAAATAAATAATTATATACATCAGATATAATTTTTAAAAGATAAGAATATTATTATTAGTTTATTAATTATCTAACCTAATCTAGATTTTAGCATTGTTATTGAAAGCATATATCTTTTAAAAATAATTAAAATATTTGAATATCTCATTAAATACTTTTTATTTAGAATTTTAAAAAAAGATATTATACTTTTTATTATTACCTACAGCTTCAGATTTTTCTTTTTTATTGAATTTTCTTTTTTTAAGCAAGCATCAGATTGGAATAGCTCCAGGCTAGAATGTTTTTTTTGTGCTATAAAGTTTGTTATATCAAAAAGGGTTATAACTTTTATGAAAATAAATCAGAAATCTTTTCATGCAATTATTAAAAAGAAGAATTCCATTTTCATACAATCTAAATAAATTTTGTTATAATTCAAATGTTTAAATATAATATCTATAAAAAAACTAGTAATTTTACAAATAAAGAATAATTTATATATTTTGTCCCCTGCAGGTATTAAACTAAAAACATATATTTGAAGATTTGGTTATTATTTCTTTATTTATTTTGTATATAATATGAGTAATTATTTTCAAAGGTAAACAAAAATTTTTTATATCTTGAAATTATAGTTCTGAAATTTATATTGTATATATATTATTAAAAATTAGGAATCGAAAAATTATACTGTATATAGAAAATTTTTTGCTTTCTAAAAGGATTACCCATATGTCTAAACTTATTGAAAATATATATGCCTATTAAAGATATAGACAACAGTAAGAGATACAAAACCAATATTATTAAATCATATTTAGTATTATCATGATCTATTAAATACCTTCAAGGATTAGGATTAGTATCCAAAATGGCTTGGGTTTTTAATAATGCAGTGTTAAAAAAACTGGATTAAAAACAATTCAAGCAAAACTTGATTTAATGAATTCAGTACTTTATGCAACTTATGATTTAAAACTTGAGAATCCAGATAAACCTGAAGCTAAATGGCTTAATAAATATTTAAAATTCTACAGACTTATTTCACATTATTTGCGCAAAATAGGCACAGTATATGTAATAATAGTGCATGGAGCCAAAAATCTAGCTCATGCTATGACAATCGCCAAGAAGCATTAAAACATTCTCTAGATAATACCATTTCTCCAATGCAGAACTATATTATTGTAAATTACAGGCCAAAAGGAGACTTCATGCAACCTGCAATTCAATGAAGACAAAAATAAAATTTTGAGGTGTGTTTGACTTGACCAGGCAAAAGTCTCTCATATTTTTTCGTTTTTTTAACACCTACTGTACTTTATTATACTTTCTCAAGTGTTCTTTTTATAACACTTATAGTACATTGAATAAATCAAAATAATAAAGTATCAGATAATAATAATAATAATAATAATAATAAAGATAAATTATAAGCTGCTTCATTATCATTCACATTCTTTTCTTTATTATTTTATTTATCCGTCCAGTTTTTATTCTGGCACTCAATTATCTAATATCTTTCATATGATTTTTAGTTATATGATATTCATTAGTCATGTGACTTGAAATTGTGTAACACCATTTTCTTTGCCTGCTACACTAGAAAATATGGTTAGGAAAGTTCTCAGTCATATTGCATGGTTGTTGGAGGAGCTACAAAATCTGAATTCAGAATCTCGAAATTCTTGAAGTGAAGAAAGTATAATAAAAAAACATAGGTCATCGAGTAAAGTCAGCATAGAAACTTCATCATGTATCCCGGGTTATGTCAAGGAATTTGTATTTTATTTTTGTATTGTATGACTCTATGATTGTATTAATAAACCCGTCTTTTCATACAAAAGTTCCAGCCATGTTAATTTAATTTTAAATATAAATTAGTTATCTTTAAGTTAATATAAAAATGTTATGATGTTGTCAACAGCTTTGCTATCAAAAAGAAACTCCATTTAATCCAAAATATTCAAAACTCATGTTATTGTATTACACAAAGCCAGTTGATTATATCAACGTAAAGATATAATGTCAAGAGAATGGCTATTGCAAGTTTCCTCATTTTTGTTTCTCTGGATCAACAGCAACTTCGTATGCACTCATATAAAAGAAGGGATGATTCACTTGAGAACCAGAAAATGTTTAGAACCTGAATATACTATATATGCAGTTTTTGATATTGTTGGCTCAGACAAGGATAAATTCTGTATTAAGCATAAACAACCAGAAATGATTGATATTTAAGCCAAACTTTATAAGTACACAGAATGGCAGAAAAGAGTGCTCTTTGCTTGGAATTTCAAAATACTATTTAAAATCATTTTTTTTATAATCATTCTAAATTTTAACACTAATGGACTATGAATTTTACGATATAAATATGAAACTATAATAACATAATACAATGGTAACTAAATCTAGTTAAAAATTTAGAATAAATTAAAATAAATTAAATATTGGTTTTTATTGGATATAAAATCGATGATATATATTTTCACTCCAACATCCTATAGCACCACCTCCTTTATATACAGGACAACCCCAATATATTGCAATCCAAACATCAAATCAAGTTTCTTATGGAGGTGTTGGTGCATCAAATTTCCATTGGGATATACTGTATATAATCACAAAACTGATTTTTTTAAATCCATCTCTATCCCTAACCTTATCAACTATTTCAAACAATTTCTCATTATTAAAGAGGAGAAAAACATTGAAGAAATTCTTAACACCAGTGCCACTTGTAATATCCGAATTCTTAACTTTGAAAAAATCACTGACAGATATAATAGAATCCAACTAGTTAAAATCATTATTCAAAATTCAAAAACAGATCACTTTAACTTTAACCTTGTAAGTAACATAGTGAATTAAATAGAAAAAGTTCAGCTTGATTAATAACTTTATAAATGCTTTCAAGATTTCTTCTTTTATTTGAAGAAAAAGAAAAAAATATTTTGCAGCTTTTCTTTAAAAATGATTGACTATCAATCACTTCTCCTGTTATTCAAAAAAGTAATGTCAATCAAAATCCTGAAACAATATATCATACAAACCCCTTGTCAATTTATTCAGCTATAACCAAAATTGAAAACATCAATGAAATCAGTACTACCCATGACACACCATTAAAACTTTTAGATTTGGATGTGCCAATCTATAAATAATCACAAAAAAATGATCAATCATATTCTATCACAATATCATCCAACAGTTACACAAACTCTCTGGCTAGTCTTGACATGAAAATCAATACTATTTATCATACAAACTAATCAAGCATCATGATTATTGATGACATCATTGATTTGAATAAATTCTCAAAATCTTCTCTTTAAACAAACAACCAAAATTTTACAAAACCTTCTTAATCAAAACCTTTCAATTAATCAACATCTTGATCATCATCTTTCAACCACCAAATTCAAAAAGAACTTCAACAAATTAGAGATATCAAGTAATTAGAAACTCTATATAAAAGCACAGAAAAATTTGTCAAAAAACTCATACCTGTCCCAATAATATCAAAACTATTATTGAAATAATCGATAAAATCTGCAAATTATTCAAACATCCATCCTATTTCTTTTAAGCAATAATTAATAAACTCAAATACAAAGACTATATTTTCTTCAACACATTCACTAACAAGAAGAATATCATGCCTTTATATCAAAAAGAATTCATAGAAATTGTCAATAAAAATATAAAAATGAATACAACCTCTCTTTCATCAATCTTGAAACAAAAAAAAAATTTGCATCATTATTTGTACTATTCTATCCATTATCTTTCTTAGAACCATCAATATTGAAAACATCACCTTTTATAAACTATTAAGCATTCCCTCTTACCTAATTAACTATTTTATTAGAAAACACTAATTCTTTGTTGAATATATACTTCTAAAAGAATCTTTTAATAAATACTTTGACGAAATTCTTCCAGATCTTCCCTCTAATCCAGCTAAAATCTCTTCTCAAATTAAAATCAAACTTTCAAGCAACCTACTACTTATCGAAAAAACACAAATCCTTCGTACCCTTCATTCTTATTACAAATTTGACAAACTTTCTAAGTTCTATTTTAAAACAAATCTACAATTGCCTAATAATCCAAACAATCTTTTAGTCAAATACAAAAGCATCTTTCCAATTAAAAAAAGAAGTGAACTTTTAAAGCTCTCTGATTATAAAAAATATCTTCATAAAGAGTATCAAGTTCCAATCAAACTGTCTAACTCTTATTTTAACCTTCCTTTTCCAAAAAACCTCTCCCTTTTATATATTATTTCCTTGAATCCAAATATATTCATCTCTTTTTCTTCAATCCAAAAATAGTACACTAACAATCTATGAACTTATCATCCTCTTACACAAAACCTACTTCTTCAAACTATTACCTAATTATTTCTTTTATACTCAAACTAAACTTTCTTTTTCTCCAGACAAAATACTTAACCTGGAACTTAATATTCCACTTCCAGTAACAAATCCTAATAATGTTTTACTACTTCTCAAAACACTATCCAAAAAATATATCTTTTCTACTCTATTTCTCAAAGAATGGATTGACATTTCTACATTAAACTCAAAAACACTCCTTTCAATAAACTATGACAAAGTAAATAAAATAGTAGAAACAAACTTTTCAATATTGAATAAAAAAAATCTCAGAGAAAATATTATCAAAGCCTATAAACATTTCATATTTAACAAAATCCCAGAAAATTGGATGAAAAGCACCAGGAAACCTTAGCTTCTAGATTTTACAACACTCAAAAATTTTATTTCAGAAAACAATCTCAATATTGAACTTTCAATTATTAATGACTCCAACTTCTTGATCAAAATTCATAAACTTAAAGAATATTTTGGTTTTCAAAGACTTCCTAATGACTTTATCCTTTAAATCGAACTTCTTAAATCCTCTCTTAAATTTTTTAACTTTTTCTAATAGCTACTGCTGACTTAGTTAATCACTTAACCTTAAATAATGAAATCTTTTTTAAACATATTCACCTCAACAAAAATTTAATATTCTTTTACACACCCTCTTTCTTTAATAAACTCTTATCTTTTGAAATAGAATTTCTAAACACTCAAGGACTTAATAATACAACTAAACTTAACTGCCTTCTGACATACTGTATATTAAAAACAAAAACTATGACCTATTTGGACTCTTAGAAACCAAACTTCAACTTAATAAAAAAATTCCTAACATTATTGACAACTTCATAATCTATTCAAGCAATCTGTTCTCAAGTCAAGCAGGAATATCTATTATTATTAACAAAAGACTTCAAAACCATTTTTACAAAACTATAAAACTATAAGACTATATAATCTCTATCTTCTTTTAATTTAAACCAAAAATCAAACTCTGTATAGCACAAGTTTACCTTCCACACAATCTACAAGAGAGGAAAAAGACCACTACTACTCTCCAAAATCTTATCAATAACAATAAATCAAAAAACATCTCACATATCATTATGGAAGACTTAACTTTATTCTATCTAAAATAAACAGAACTTAATCAACAGAACCAAAATATAAATCCACAATTTACAAATCTTTCAACAAAAACTATCATAATATTTTCCATCTTCTTAATCCACAAAAACTAGCATATACTTTTTCTTGTTTTACTGGTTAGAGCTGCATTGATCAAATATGGACCACTGATAACATTACTATACAAATTACCAAATCTCAAATTATCAACACTGAACTTGAATTCCAAAGTGATTACAAAATAATTACACTTTTGATTTTCAATTTTCTAATAATCAATTATCCAAAACCAAAACCAGTCATATGCTTCAATTATAACAAAGTTTCAGAGAAAATCTGGAAGAATATTAATACTTACCTATTACACAAACTAACTTCTCTTGATAATAACGAGTTAAATCTTCAAGAGAAATAGAAACTTCTTAATTCTTTAATTAAAACTACAATAAATGACTTTATTCCTAAACAAAAAATAAAGAAAAACTTTCTTTATATCTTTAACAAAAATGGCATTCTACTTTACAAAAAACTACAATCTATTAAATTTTATATCCACAACTAAAGATAGGTTCTAAATTATTTAATATATAAAATTTTGCAGATCAATTATGTTCCTTTTAAAGGGACATAATTATTTATTTATTATTTTAATAGGGACATAATTCAAAAACATTTGGATCAAGTGATCTAAATTGCAAAAAATCTTTGTAAGTAGTTTTTTTTTTATCTTATATTTAAAAAAAAATCTTTTTAATAGTAAAAAACATTTGAATTATATTCTCACCTTTAATTTAGGAACCTATCTTTATCCACAACCTCTTTTCTTTCTCTCCTTCACTTCAACTTCCTACTGATATTACTTCTGAGCTTAATAACCTAAAACTTCCATTCAACACTTATCAGAAAAAAATCTTATTTCTCAAAAAACTGTTCAAAATTGTATTTCAATTACTTAAAACTAAAAACACTCTTCACAAAAATAAAACCATCAAAAAAATTATCAATAAATAAATTTTTTATCTTCAAGAAAAACCCAAAATCATAATCTGACAAACTCTTAACTATAAAAATCCTCAAGCTTCCTTTATTAAACTAATTGATCCACTTATAAAAAAAGTCATCACAAATCCATTAATTATTTATCAAACCTTAACCAATTACTACAAAAACATTTTTCACAAAAGAATAATAAATCAAACCATTTTCTTCAAGTGGAAAAAACATTACCAATCTCTCAAACACATTAATTTAACAACATATTCTACACTTATAATGCCAATTTCCCAATATGAAATATCTGAAACAATTAATAATCTCCCTAACAACAAAGCACCAGACCTATTTAAAATTAATTACCTTTTTATTAAAAAAACCCAATCAACCCTTGTTTTTATTCTCCATAACCTTTTTAATGACATTCTCCTTATACAAGAAATCCCAGCTAATTAGAAAAACTATCATATATTTTCCATTAGCAAAAAACTTCAATGGAAATACAATATACAAGATATATACCCATTGCCTTAATTGACTCCTTTTACAAAATATTAATCAAAATATTTATCAAAAGATTTAGTAAAATTCTACAAAAAATAACGTCTTACAAAAAACCAACTTTGCTAATCTTTTTCAAACCAAAGTACATTTAAACTAATTCAAATAATAAATGTTATATACAATACTAAAAAACTCATATAAAGAACTTTGGATTCTCTTATTTAA